TATTTCATACAAATTTGAAATTTATGGGCTTATAAAAAAAAATTTTGTGAACAATTTCCGATTTCTTTTAGTTGCAGTAAGTATAACTTATAATGAAACTTGTATTAAATTTTCAAGAGTTTTTGGACAACCAAATTTTTTTTATAAATATTTCAAAAAAAAAAAAACTTAGAAAAATTGAAAGTTTAAATTTTCTATAAATAAGTCAAAAAATTTCAAAATACTTCGAAAACGTTACCATAAATAGAAAAAGCTAATTTAAAGAAAAAAAAAATTTTTAGTGAAAATTTCAAGTATATGTGGTTTTTCGTTTTTCGTTTTTGAGTTAGAACCTATCAAAAAAAATGTAGTTGGCCAAAACGTGGTTTTGCGTAAAAATTCCCGTTTTTTCGTAATTTTTTTATGGTTTTTTTCGATGTTTTTAAAAGTTTATTTCTGTCACAAATTCTTAAGTTTACTTAAAAATAAAAACAAAACCGTCATGAATTATTATGTTTGGAATTTTATCGTTTTTTATCGCATATTACAACTTTTCTTATTAATGATTTTTTTTTTTCGTTTTGTTTTGTTTGGTAAACGTGTTTACGATATATACACAAGTGAATATAATATACAGTACTCTTCTTACTGAATGGAATATATAAATATATATTTATAAATAAAACCACAAACACAACGCCAGACTGAGTTTTAGTTCGAAAATGTAATTTATTACAAAATATTTTACACGGATATTTGTTCGGAAAAGTTTCATATTTTTATTGCGCATTTTTAATCCACACGCATACAGCAGATTGGCACTCTGGCAAGTTGTACTTGAACAGGATCGTTATTGTTTGTTGTACAATTATTTTTCGTCAGAATTGCAAGCCAAACAACGATTCGATAATTATTATATTACTTTGATTAGGTTCAGAAATCTGTACGACCGTTGTCGATTTTCTAAAATTGATCGCAATGATCATATATAAGTATACACAAATTATACTAGACTATATACGCATGGTCAGATGTAATCCAACTTAACCAACGAGATTTTCAGATAGTAACGATGGATCGGTCGATTTGGACCGACTCGTTTCAAAGCTACACGAATACTGTACGGAATATTAATGAGTTCAAGTAAATTAATTAAATTGTATAACATGCTATTAAAGTACTCTATGCATAAAAATATACATATACTTTTATAAAAAAATACAAATAAAAATAATCATTAACTGTTAACCTTCGGGGACGGTTAGTATTGGTTGGCGGAGAAGCCAAATTTCATGGATCTACCTGGCTATATTATAATCTGAGTGCGTCACGTCCGACGCAGATTTTGCGTCATTCACCGAATCAAAAAGATGATTATTACAATGCACGTAGCGTAAATATAAACATAATATTATTTTGTCCTTTTATGCAAGGCGTGGTCTCCTATGACCTAAAAACTTAAAAAACAGCCTAACCTCAATTATGACTTATTTCTGTTAGTGATTCGTTCATCACACAAGAGGTGTAAGATTATAACAATAATATGAAACATGTTTCCTACGTTTATAAAATAAATACAATTTCATATTTTAAGACCAAAGCAAAGATGAAAAGAAAAGAAAAATGAGCAATTTAATTAATTATGGTTATGTAATAATACAGGATCGTTGCGTGGATTCCTAGTTGAGAACAATTCTACATTTGTATTCCACCCTAAAAATATTTTAAAATATTATCTATATTTTTTACGTTGAAAATATGTTTAATTAAATATTTTATTTTTAAAGCTTTGGATTAATTTTACCTTTTCAAATGTATACACTTGTACACAAAATTATAAGTGTTTAATTTATTAAATATTTATTTTATATTTAGTATTCTTGAGTACATCATTGGTATAATTAAAATTATATTATTTATAAAAGTGAATTTTATTGTGCCAATTAATAACTTTATTTGAGCTAACATAATAAAATAATGTTATTTCGTTCTTGAATAATTATATCGATGTTCCATGTATTGGATTAAATATTATATTTTTATTTTCAGTAATATTTTGATCTGTGTTGATTTAGTTTTGAACCTATTAAAATATATTTATGGACATACTTGTCGTAAATACTATAATTATATAGTTACATTTAAACCCAACTAGGTAATGAAATAATAATTTTATAAGTAAACAACCATCGTTTTTAAGAATCAATTTGTGACCAAAATCTCAATTCAGAATTATCAAAAAAATGACAAACTTCAAAGGTCATTGAATATAATTTTTAGTTTTTTATTTTAGCAATGAAAACGTTAATTTCTTTGTGATAACAAAAAAAAAATAAAAAAAAAAATACTATTTATTCAGATGCCATCGTTTTAGCCGTTTGACAAATAAATTTTATTACGTTGCAATATTTATGAAATAATGATCAAATCTCATAGTGTATTTAAATATCAAAATTATATATTTGTGAATTAATAACTATTTTCGTGATACTGTACACACAGTACTCGTGGCAAACATGATAATAACTCTATCGCATTCACTTACCGAAGATTATATTATTATTATTTAGAAAGTTTCAGAAAATGATAAATACAGACATCAATATCCGTTGAACCTTTAACACTCATAACTATTATAATATTCTATATTCAAGTATCGAACGTAAAACCGGAGAGTGACTATTCATAAGATCAAGTATCGGGAGTAAATTTATTTGAAAAAGTTTCGACATGGCTCAGATGTTTGAGTGATTACAAATTAACCACAAAAATATGTTTACGAACTTTCAAAACCGAATGGAATGCATGAGATATTTCTATAAGCGAAACTACGATCAAAGTTACAATACTATGGTAATAAAGGTTCACGTCAAAAGTTTAAACGTTTTCCGTTTTCGCCGCCGATCGACTTTAAACGGTTTCGCGATCAACTCGTGTTGTGACCAGGGCCTAAATATTTGTAAATTTTCAGTAGGCCACACGCTAAATGTTGAACTCATGTTTTTAGTCGGTGACGTAAGATGTAGTTAAAGATACTTACCGAAAATCGATTTAAATGTATCATAGAAAAGTTGTATTTTTTCTGTACTCGGTGTAATAATCAATTATAATCCTACGATATTTGTTGTCTGTCTAAATCTCTGTTTTCGTGACTTGAACGGATTCGAATTTTTCAGTGCACAATTTTTTACTGTTTTTTTTTATCTTCTGCTTTACCTCGCCAAAGCATCTCGAGTATGCACCGTTTCAGGTGCTTGGTCGGCTTGTATCAATTGCGCGTCATATCTACATCGGCGATACGGTACGGCGGTGGTGAGAGGGCGAGTAGACGACGACTTCGGGGCATTCGGCGGGACACGAACACGACGATTGTTGCCCCCGGGGTGGGGTGATGATGGGGGCACCGAACCGAGTGCGTGTGGGTAACGGCGACGGGTGCATGTGGCCGCTATACAGTGTGTGTTGGGCACAGTGGAGCAGCGCTCGCATACGTACCATTTATCCGTATAAGTGCACACAACGATATAGGGCCGGCGCTAGCTGTGCCGTAAACGCGCGGCTAAGGGGTGTGGCGCCCGTGGGGATGACTCACGGCCCGCATTGGCCGTCATCGCACGTGACATCGGAGCACTGTTTTCGTTCAGCAGACCCTGGTGCACCCACGCGCGCCCTGTAGAGTTACCCAGCGACGGCGGTCACTATAAAACTCCGCACCCGAAGCTCTTGCGGCTTGAACTCCACCGGTCGCACAGTCAACCTGCGCTCGTAGTCCTTCCGAAGATCACGAGACCGCACGCAACACCCGCTGCTAATCGCTCGCATTCGCACAGGTACGTTCACCGATTGTTATGGTAGGTTGTAATACAATTATAATATTGTATTTATTTTTGCAACGAAAATAAATACAATACCTCTACCCAGAATAAATGACGTTATAAAGAATCTTGGCATAATTTTTGAACCTAAATTGACATTTTAATGCTCATATCCATTACATAAAGGATAAAGCCTTAAAACTGCTTGGTTTCATACACAGAAGTTGTATCGATTTCAATGATAAAAATGCATTTATTTCAATTTATTATTCACAGGTACGCTTAATTTTTGAATATTGTACAATTATCTGGTCACCATATAATATTGGATTAATAAATACTCTCGAAAAAGTTCAAAACAAGTTCTTACGGATTTTAGTTTTCAAGTTGAATACATCCAGGATTCCCTATACACCTTACCATCCTTTACTTACTTATCTGAATCTGGAATCCTTTGAACAGCGTAGAATCATTCTATTTAAAATCTCTCAAACTATAAATTATGCAACTAACACACCACTCTTGATAACCATGAACTCTGTAAATAATTATAACATTGATCCGTTTTTTCTACTTTCTTCTACTCTTATAAAAATCACGTTTCCGCTAAACTAGCTGTAAATATAATTTGATATGTTTATTTAATATTAATTGTATTTTTTTATTTATTTTTTTTTTTTGTATTTAAATTTTAATTTAATTCTGTATTTGTTTAATAATATTATCGAATACTATTTAAATTTAATTCATGTAATTTGGTCCTAACTCGTATATTATTTCAATAAATAAAAAACAAAACGGGTTTTTCGGTCAAACAATTATTTAAACTAACATTTATTTTGTTTTTATTTTTTTCTTAAACTAAATAGTACAACTGCATCGTAACATAATACGTAACAAACGTCAAGAAAAAAAACTTAGCTCGTGCTACGGTGCATCATTGAGCTCTGATTTAAACGTATTGAATATTTACGGTTTAGAATAAACTCAGTGCTCTCAGAAGCTATCGAATTATATATTTATTCATCGTAAATGATAATATTACAACATATGCGCAACGTTGAACTAAAAAATAACACCTTATACCTCGTTCAGTTCGAACCGCATTTATTTCGGCGGCAACCGAAAACCGGTTTATGAATTTTGTATGTTATAGGCTTTTTATTTATTTATTTATCTTATGGTTTTTTTGTTCTCCTTTAGAAAATGGCAGTTAAATTCTCCGGGTTGTTGTTCGTCGGGTTCGTTGCCACTATGGTGGTCGTCCCGTACATGATGGCCGAAGCCCGGTACTTACCGACGAGGGGTAACGAAGATCGACTGACTAGATTGAAAGAGCTGCTCACAGACGTAAGTGATTTTACTATAAACAGTTTAAAAACATATACATTTAATCTATATATATATATATATATATATATACAAAATCAAAATGCGCATGACATGAGTTACTAGTTAGAGTTAATAGGTTAACTCAAATCGCTACAGAAATTTTAATCAAATGTAAGCGTTTCGTAATTAATGTTTTTTTGATTTTTCTCGTGTATACGACCATTTATTATACCATCAATATTAATTAAAAATCAACTTTCACAAATGCTAAAATTCACTTAATCTATTCAAATTACTAAATGTATCGCCGTATTGAATTAAATACAACAATATTATTACCAATGCTTTTATTTACAATTAAATATTTTGCATTCGTCAAGCATTTTTTTTAATGTACATAAACACGCCATATACTTATATGTTGAAATATTTATTTGTATTTTAAACAGTTATTAAGCATAATTTATTTAATTTATTTCTTTTATAGAATTTACATGGTAATAAAATTATAAAACAAAAATATCAATTATTTTTTACAACCAAATTTGTATTATATTATTTTAAATCTATTATACTCTTTATAATCATAATATTATTATAGTCTTAAATATTATAATTGTCTACAAAGGTTTATTAGTATTCAGATTTTAAGCTAATTAGCTGAACTACAATATGAGTAATTGTAATTATTATAGCATTTACGCTTTTGGCCAGAATGTTAATTCGTAATTGTAATAATAAAAGCAATACGTTTTATATGATGATATAACCGATAGGAACATTTTGTACTTTCTGTGACAAAGTATTATATATTTTTTCTTTTTACTGCTGACGTTAGTACTTTTTAACTTAATACGATAAAATATTCTAGTATACAAATTTGGGAGATATAAAATAATTCTTACAATTTGCACACTATAAATCAAATAAAAAACAAAAAAACAAAATTAAAAATGGATTTTTTTAAATATTTATAATATATTATAATTTGTACATTTAATGAATAATTTGATAAATTGTTAAATTTACATTTTACTCTTGATATACTATGTTTAAATCAAAAACCAAAAAATGTTTTCATAAAATATTATAATCCTTTTCTTTAATGGTATCCAAATATTTTAAACAAATTATGTACTTGACATATTTTATTACTCATTCTACTCATATTGGCAGGTTATTGACATTTCACGAGACTTTTTTTTCAAAGAATATTTAACAATTTAAATTATTTATTATTTACTATGTTTAAGTGTTTAAGTGAAACGAGAAACAAACAAAATTGTTTTGTTTTTAGAAACGACAGTAACATAAATCACTAGTATAAAAATATACATTTATCAAACTGATAATGATAGACGGTAGCATAAAATGTTTATTTTCAGCTTATAGTTTTCTGTTTAAAACTATATTAAGATTGAAACTAAATATAATAAAAACTATTGCAAGTCATTCACTTTCATTAATTAAAATAAGAAACCAAACACATAAAAATAAACATTAATCTGTCACAATAAATAAGGTAACTATTTTTTCCAGTTTTTTTTCAATTCAAATCACAATTAATGTACATTCATAAAATAATAAAATAATAATTTATCTCTTGTTAATTCGAAAAAAATTGTACTAACGTTATAAAATATAAATATTGGAATTACTTTATGAGCGTGTAAATAGAGTACTGATGCTGAACTGTACCAATTAATCAAATTGTTCAAAAAAAAAAAAAAATTAAAATTGTTTTTATCTAAAACTGTGCTTTATAAAGCCAATGTGAGGATAAACTAATATATCAGTTTATCCTCACATTGGACATGCATTGTGTTAACAACAATGTTTTTACGAAAACACTAAAAAGCATATTCTAACGACTTAATTACTGTATGAGGTACATTTTTCATATTTTTACCTTACGGATAATTTACCATAATTTTTCTTTTTTCATAATTAGTGACCATATAAATTAACATAATGGTACGTAGGTATAATATACTATAAAATAGTAATTGCAATTATTTATGTAGACAAATTGTTACCTAATCTTTTATTTCAAAAAATTACATGACAGTAAGTTTTTTTAATATTGTACGGTCAAAAATAATGATACACTAACTTAACTAACAAAACACCGAACCGTTATTTTAATCCTTAATTCTTACATATATACTATTATAAACGAAATTACATTTATGTATAATAAGTTGCATGCATACAGGCAATTTTAAAATCACATTTTTCTATAGAAATTAAACATACAATAATTTAACTAAAATGTATAACAAATTATCAATACAAATTATGAAAATAATATTCCTACATAGACAAAAACATGTGACACGTAACTCGTTTCAATTCGATTATATAAATAAGTTTATGAAAAAGAGATGTAATAATTTTAACCAGTTACTTACATTATACGCTGAAATAAATAGTTATTTAATATAGATATTCCGATAACACTCATCCGCAAATTAGAAATAAATGTCAAAGAACATATTATTTGAATACGGACAATTATTCAATCATACTAACAAAGTTAATTAAAGTTATCGGATCAAAAACTAATTTTCTTATCTTACAATCGATTGATATTATGAAATAATAAAAGTAAATCGACTGGAGAACGATACGAGCATTTTTTGAATTTCCTTCATTCATTTTCTACACTTATCGTCTAGGAAAAAGTGAACAATTAAAAATTTAAAAAATTAATCGATTATAAGTAAACATGATGCTTAATTCAAATTTGTTATGATAGTATATTGATGGCTTCGCAATATCAATAGGATATACTGTGGAAAGAAATTAATTTCAAAAAGTCTACTGCCTTCAATACGTAAAATTATAACGATGATATCCAATCTAAAAACAATGTTTACGGCTTTTATAATCGCTTAAATGGTTATAAACATTTTTTTGCGTAGTAAAAATATTTATTATTTTTATTTTATTCCACATTCTTTTGAATAAACTAAAAATATTTAGTCTAATCCAAAACTAGAATGTAATTCATATTTATATACTATGATCGGTGATACCAATATCATTTGTGTAGCTTATGTTGCATACTTTTGTTTCATAATATACTCAATATAACCATATAAAAAGTATACATATATATATATATATATATATATATATATATATATATATAAATGAATAAATGCTATATTAGTGGAAATATAATATATGTTGTAGTCTTACATATAAATTAACTGGAAATTTAACACAGGTCGAATTTTAAAAAGGTTGTTTTTGAAAATTGTACATACATATATATACATATATTCATAGATATTTCAACCACTATGTTTTATTATAATAGAATACCCAGGATGGTTAATGCAAAGATGATATTTTGTTTAATGCAAGAAAATTTACTCGTATTATGGAACATAAAAGAAAAGTTGTTAATATTTTGTGCTTTAAATTGCATCTTTTATTTATTTATTTATTTATTTTTTTTTTTTTAAGGACGATTATTTAGGTTATCCATTTAATAATTCTATCATAAACTGTGTAACCGATACATAACCTGTACAATAAAAGTTCATGATATCATGAAATCCACGGAACAGTAATGCATGTAGGATTTTTTATTTCGTTTGTTTCCGTTTCACTAATGCTAGAGACAGCTATACTTGATCGATTAATAAATATGGATTTTCAAAAATTACTTTCTGGATAAAATAATTAAAATATAGGTGATAATTTTTGTGTGTATCAACATTGTTATTGAATACATAATATATTTTAAATTATTCACATTGAAATTTGTCAATGCTTTACCAAACATTTTTTTAAAATGACCGAAAAATCTTAGTTTATTAACCAGCAAAAAAATAAATATTAACAGTGTTTCTTTTATGTAATTCAAAAAAACATGAATAATTATGAATTGAAGTGTTCAAATATTGTAATTTAATTCGTTGTTAGTTTAATGATATTCGCTAAGGTTTTATAGACATCTTAATTTAACTAAAATGTATTCATAATTAATTATTTAATCAGTTCAATTTAGGCCGATTAAAAAAAAATTAAAATTGTATTTATGTGGAATTTTATATTTTGAATATGTAGAACAATAATTTTATATATTATTAAGTAACTGAAAAATGTCTATAATTTTTCTATATTTCTACAAATATTTTTAGCTCGTAGTATTTTAACTTAGTATTTTAATTAAAATATCCAATCATTATAATATAAAAAAAAAGATTAATATTTGTAAAAACAATTGTAACGAACGATGTTTTATGAAAAATAACTTAAATTATTAGATAAGTCTTAACTTTACATGAAATAATTGTAACCTGTTTAATTACGAAAGAAAAAAAATCATAAGAGTTCTATAATTTTATTATTTTAAAAACGTCTTCTTTTTATATAAGTTCAGAAAATAATTTTTTATTTACACATTATTCACTAAATTTTTTAATATAAGAATTAAAGTTGTACAGGTCTACAAAAATATAAAGAATTTTCTGAACATATACTATATATGAATATATGTTATAATATTTTAGAACGTAAGTAAAAAAAAAAAAAAAAAATGAATACAACTCTTTTTTTTCTTATGAATTCGAGCATTGTTTCTAATTCTTACTCAATATAGAAATAAGTACTTATAAGGTTTCAAAAATACCTATTGAACAAAAAATAAGTTATTTAAAATATGCTTGAATGACATTCAAAATGATCTCTATTTTAATGTCATGAAATTCTATTTAAAAGAAATAAAATTGCACTTCAGAGTTTCAGCAACTATAGTGATTTTTAAACTATGTATAATTTTATAAGAACTGCATACAATTAATACAAAGATGTATTTCATATTTACATTCTAACTGAACCCTTTTGATTTTACAATCATATGTTTTTTAATTTTATTTTTATTTTCTGTCGACCCTGCTTTCTTGAAATAATAATACAACCTTTTTCAATAGATTTTTACTTTTATAGTGCAAATTATAGATCATTGACATTTTTCTTTTTCTTAACTGTTTTCCATAAAATAT